CTCACTCGGCCCTTACCACTAAGCTCTTTTAAAACAGTAGCTCAGTTTAGGCTTGATTACTTGCTTGGCACTGCGCTGTGCAGCCATGACCCGCTTGTCATCCACACAAAAAGCGGGTAAAGCCTCATAATCAAGTCACTACAAAACCAGCCGTATTTCGCCTGCTGGATGGCGTTGGAAGATGTCTGAATGTCGTCAAAAACAAAATCCCAACGGTGAAAACCTCAGTCTTTAAGTACCCCTGAAGGATCAGAAGTCTGATCCTAGATTTAAGCTGTCCTCCAAATCTACTGATCAGAAATCTATATGCATTACGAAATTTTGCTCGAAAATCAGTTCCCTACTCTTGAAGAATGATCCAGATCCTACTCATATATTCCCTTTCTCCCTCTCTCTCTGCTGCGCTGTCACTCCCCCTCTCTCTCTCTCTCACACTCACAGACACTCACTTTCTCTCTCACTCGCTCTCTGTCCACTCTCTTTGAATAACCCTTACTTACTCTCTTACTCTCTCTGTCATTGCTGCCCGTCTCTCTCTCTCACTCAATCCGCTCTCTCTCTCTCTCACTCAGTCCTCTCTCTCTCTCTCTCTCTCTCTCTCTCTCTCTCTCTCTCTCTCTCTCTCTCTCTCTCTCTCTCTCCCCCCTTGTGAAACTCACTCTCACGCACGCACCCACTCAGTCTTTCTCTTCCCTTCACTCTGTGTTGTGCGTTGTCAACTGGTAGATCAGTCTCCAATAAATGCCCTGCTTGAACATGAATAGATACACCGCCATTTGCTTTGTCTTCCTAGTACCATAGGCCTAGTTCCACACCTCACCAAACCAGGAGATGATATCGAACCTTCAGCAAAAAACATGGGCAGATGCATCSCCATATTCTTTGTCTTCTGTRCAYTGCGGGGTCMCGCCTGATTGCTCACCAGATGAGGGGAATGAAAACTGTTGCTTCAACCAGAACATCAACATCAAAAGATACATCACCGCATATATAAATGTATATATTTATTTTATTATTATTATTTTTTTTCATCTGATAATCGTGATGGTTGAATCTTCAGCGAGAACATTGAAGGTTAAATACTCATAATGTGTCTGCTCTGCACTGCGCGTTGATAGAGTTTGAGCATCCCCCCCCTGCTACATCCAGTGCTGGTGGCGAACTGGCTAGCTCAGGTATGAACGAACCTGGAAGCATTTGCAACCAGGCTAATTAATTTCATAATCAAGGAAACACAACCCTCTTTGTCTCTCTCTAACTATCTTACCTCCCTCTCTTCTCTTTCTTCCAACAGATTGCACATGGACATTAACTCTAGTTCATACAACGTCACCAAGGAGTCCTAGCAGGCATCCATTGCCTTGGTCATTCTTGCTGTTGACGTCATATACGAGGGCTGACATTACTTGAGACAATCACACAAGCTACAGCAACGCTCGCCTCGGTCACTCGCTCCAGCTGTGCAGTCCCCTTCTCTCTCACTCTCCCTCTCACACGCAGTCTCTCGCTCCCGCTGTGCAGTCCCCTTCTCTCTCACTCTCCCTCTCACACGAAGTCTCTCACTCCCGCTGTGCAGTCCCCTTCTCTCTCACTCTCCCTCTCACACGCAAGTAACCGCCTGAGCGCCGACGCGTCTCCCCCGCGCTTTCACTCGCGGGTACGCCTTGTTCGCGTCCGGCTCTCCCCTCTCTCGGCGTAACCGCCTGGAAGCCGATGTCTCCGCCTCGAGCTCGTCTCCCACTCTGCAACTGCTTGAAGCCGGGCACACAGGTTCTCAACCCTTCTACTCTTACGCCACTCAAGTTAGGGTAAAGACTTCATCCCTACACTTTGTTTATATACTGCTTATCACAGTCTACTCTGCTTTACCAAAACCACCCAGCACAGTCCCTTGGTCCTCGTAAGGTACCATGAGACCAAATAAGAAAAACTAAATTAAAAAACCAAATATTAAAAACTAATTTAAAAATTAAAAAAACGCTTGCGTACGTCACTTGAGAAATGCACCGCGCCGTATGCTGAGCTTCGGCGTGTCCAGCAAACCACGATAGCAGATCAGTGGCTTTTTTCTCTAAGTTAGGCCAATGTATATGTTCAAATAGCTAGGTCTGATACGGACCCTCTTACCAGGTATCGGGCGACTTTAGCGTACACCACGTGTTTCAAGAAGGACAAAACATAGTGGCAGGATATCAGATTCGTAGACCAGCAGTAACGCCAGAGCCTGACCCACGTTTGCTGGTTCATGTCGAAGGAGAAGCAATAGGCTTGAACGCTTCTCGCAAGAATGCGGCCGAATATCAGATCTGGAACGTTTGCACGTCCAAAAAGGAGGCCTCAGTCGAATCATTAGACTTGGAACCTCCGAGGGGTATCACTGAGTAGGTACTCGATGACACCCGTCAACTTATCTCAAAATGGGGTTCTCATCCTTCTTGACATCCATCGGACCCCCGCAAGGACGGTTCTACCGGGGTACCCGATCTTCCTTAACTCTTCGGCCAGAGTCATGACACTGCAGCAAATCAGGCTTTCAAAGTTAGAATTTTGTGCGATACGGAGTACCGTATTCGCAACTGTAGCAAATTTGGCATTCCGTGGACCAAACGAAACAAAATCTTTGTATGTCTGAAAACGGACATCCCCTTCGCTCCAGATGGAGCCTGCATTCTTGAATTTGTGGCACATTAATATGCCCGTCCTGCAGATGAGAAGACGTGTTTCCAAGAAATTCAGCACCCCACAGTCTGAATCGGTGCGTTCGAGCACCAGCTTTGGAGGGTAGCACTTAGTCACTCCGTCAAGTCTTTCAATAGCAAGCCGTTCTCCCACTGGATCATCACGATCAAACAGGGAGACAATCAGCAAATTGTCAATGTAACGCTTACCCATAACCAATTTGCAATTCGCACCCTGAAAGTTAATAAATTGGAACTCGGCCATCATACACATGAGACAAGCCAGTGGCAGGCTTGCCCGCCCACCCATTGGAATGCCGTTAATCTAGCGCAGTGTTATCCCTGAGACTGAGAAAAAAGTATTATCCAGTTGAAAGTCAGTGAGGGATATCTGACTCTTCAGGTGAAGAGTTCAGGTGAAGAGATCTCCACCCAGGTTCTCCAAACAATTTTCCAAACCGGGCAGCTTTCTTCCTGGTACTGATTCTCAGTCATTTTACTGCTTTTGAGAAAAACAGTTTAACAAACCAAACTACAGCGTTCTTGATGCACTTATGTGGAAGCTGAATGAACATTTCTTTAGTATCGTAAGTGCGAGCCATAATCCCGAGGTTGTCGCTAACTTCTGTGATCTTGTCGTTAACCAACTTGATTGCTGGTTGGAGGTCAATTCTGGTTCGCATGTTAAAGTGCAGAACTTTAGCTATCCTTATCGTCTCATTCAAGGCTGTTGACAGAATGTCAGAGGCAGCCCTAAAATGACTTTTATAGGAGGGCACAATCGGTCGCTTCTTACTCTTATCTTTCTCTTTAGAGAGAATGTAAGCATGCTGAAGTTCTCCTTTGTTATCCCATTTCGCGATTTTTCCCAAACCCAACGAATTAAATTCATTCTTCATTTTTTGAAGAACAATAGTTGATTCGGGAACTACATCATAGTTCTTGTTGTCAAGGAACATCTTCTTCAGTCCTGCTTGGTAAGATAGTGGACATTCAACCCAGGTCTCACTAGTGTTATGATCTAAAGGTGACATAATCAAACCATCAAACGCTTGTTTCACCCCGTAGACATATTCACTCAGCACACACCCATCGACCTTCTTTTCCCCCGCCCTTGAGACAAGTTTCAGACCAAGCGCATGGTGCCGGTAACGACACCCATGTCCCGGAGAAACGCAACAGCCTGGTTACATGATTGGTTCAATCCTTCCCTGCATTTCAATGCATCAGGAAATGGTACGTTCTTTGAATTAAAAAAAAAAGAGTCAACCTCTCCAATCTCGCTGAGCTTTACCACAACATGCCCGTTAGTCTTGGGTAGTTCAAAGTTGACACAGACACATCTGAATTCTGTTTGCTGTGCAAACAACTTTTGGTTATGCAAGATGTCCCCAACTGAGTTGGCTTTCAGCTAGACTGCCTTGGTTCTTTTTGCAAACAGGTTGCCCAGAGCTTTTGTCGAGGTGTTCTCCCTGACCCAATTCTTAACCTGGGTCTCAACCTTCTGTTTCTCAATTATTGTGCAGAAAGGAATTTTAACATACACATTCATACGAGGGTTAATCGTAAATTTATTCTTCATGACTGTGGTTATAATTCCACGGATAATCTGCCTACCCCGCTGCTGGTTAACTCTCTTAATTTCATCATTAAGTTCGATTAGTTCATCCATGCTTAGTTTGTACAGATCCTGTCTTTTCCAGGGGGCACGAAGTAGCGCAATTAACTCAACTTTCCTGAGTTCAGTCCTGGTTTTTGTTCTTACGACTTCAGAGATCAGCCGCACATCTCCTTTCTCAATTAGGGACTTCGTATCTTTCAACAACATCTTATTGCCCAAAATTTCAATTTTCGAAAAACCAAACGGCAGTGCGACCAGTCTCCATGCTTTCAACCATCTACCTCCTTTATTATTTGAAACAAGCACTGGTTCGCGTTTCCTACCTTTGGTTAAAAGTTTGAGGATCCTCAGTAGGTCAGGCTCGTAAGAAACATCAAGGATGGGGCAGATAAAGAAAATAGGCTCAATTATTTGCAAAGGTGTTAGCGCGTCCGAAGTGGATTTTTTCCTAGCTCGAACCCGACGTCCATTCTTCTCACTTTTTAAGAAACGTGAGTTCAGGCCGGGGTTAAAACCCCGGATAACCGCCTGTTCAAGACTATCAAGATCCGCCTGGTCACCAAACCAAATTGGAAGTTATGCTCAACCCACCGCTCACAAAGCGTTCGAGCAGTTCTTCCTACATAGACCGCCTTATGGTTTAAAAACATAAGTACATAGACACAACAACTTCCATTGAGTAATGTATCCCATTCTTCCGGTCGCAGTCTGAACCAAAACCTTGGATATGCATTCCCCCACGCAAGGTCACCCCTCAAACAAGCAAGCAAAATGATTAGGGTGTGGATCCAGTCAAGCAGTATGTTAATCTGCCCGCCCACATCGCTCTTGAGGCGCTGTATTCGACGCGCCGCTCTCTGGAGGGACCGAATGCTACCAAGTCCCAGTTTCCCTTTACAGGGTCCTCAGCGACATAATTCATCTCAATGCTTTCGCCTTCATTCACACCATTGGCGCTGGATGGTTCACCCGCTGGTCGGGGCTTGCCTCCTTTGAGCATGTCTACATACTCTTGTAAGTCCAGCCGTGTAAGCTCCCAAGCACCAATATCCTTCCTTAAATACTGAATATTCTTCTGTTTGCACATCTCCTGCACACGCGTGTAATGCAAAGAAACGTAGAAGTCTTGGCGCATCTTCATGCATGCAGCCAAGCCGCCTCCGTCACCTTCATCCTCCTCTGCGTTCGTTTCATGCTGCACGATATCGACATCTTCTTCCCCTTCAACACCTTCGGACTCTGCGGACGGCTTCTCTTGCTTAGGCTCCACGACTTGAGTCTTCCCCTTCCTGTCATCCATTCCCTGCATTAGCGCCGCAAGCATCATCTTGATGTCTGCTAGGTCGCTACTGCTTTCCATTTTGGATTGCAGGTTTTGTTTGACCTTGTTCGCACTTTCGTCGTGAAAGGAAATCTCGATGCACTTAGATTTAGACTTGCTCCCTCCACGAGATCGAGTTTTAACTCGATTAACCTCAGGCGAGTTCTCGACTGGTGTACTCTGCCCGACCCTCTTTCGCTTCTCATTGCTTGATAATTCTTTGCTCCCTTTTTTTTTTCCAGGGCAAGCTTCTCCTCTCGAAGCTTTTCCAGCTCAGCTTTCTCCGTCGCCGTAAGTTTAAACTTCTTATCAACTTCTTCCAACCAATCAGAGATGAGTTTCAAGGAGCTTCCAAGCGTGGAGGTCTCCCAAGCCTTCATTTCGTCACTTTTCGTCGACGAGCGAACATCAGATCTGCTAGCCTCATCCGGAAGTTCCACGATACGAACGTCAGTTGGTCGATCAACAGAAGTTCGTCGCCCATTCGCCATCTTCTTCTTGGCCTCTTCAACCGCCTTATGCGTCTTGATATCCTCAAGTAGATCCATGTATTCCTTCGTGAAATAGGCACGATTACCAGGCCCCGGAAACGTGTTAGCAACTGGTCCTTTTCCACCACCACCCCCACCTGTTCCGCCAATATGGTTAGGAACAGGGTCGTTAGGAGGCGGGGCAGCGACAGGCTGAGGTGCCAGGGCAATCCACGGCCCGGTGCCAGTCCATTGCCCTTATGCAGGCCAAGCTTGCAAACCCCACTGTCCAGTTGAAGGAGGAGCAATATGCGACATGTATTGCAGCGAAGCAGGTGGCATCGAAGGCATAGTCGGCATGATAGGCATGGTAGGCAGTGAAGGCTAAGCAGACATTGCAGGCATGGTAGGCATGGCATGAGGGGCTGCGGTAGGAGCCATCGCCGGTACATGCGCACCACCATATTGATACGGTTGCAGAGTGACACCCAGGGGGAAGGAATTCCCAGTCGGATTATTCCCACCATATTGCATTGGTACGTTCTGCGGATGAAGTCCACCCACATTCCGGGCATTCGAGTTCTCCATCCAATAGCGCCCACAATTCGACCACCTTCCTTGTCGGTCGTTCCTTCTCCCACCTCGTCCCCGTCCAGACATACGCTCAATAGCGAGGCTTACAACGATCCCAATCCCAACACCGATACCAATCGCCCACTTTATATCGCCTTCGTTACAACTTCGCCACTCGAGCCAACTGAAGTTCCATGTCATACGAGCAACTGCTTCCACAGCGGCAGCAATGTAGCAGCTCTATCTCTTACTGCCAAATCATCGGACGCGTGGCTACGCCACTTCGCGCAAAGTTCAGTAGTGAAGTGGCGCAGACCGGATCTGGTCGCTCGTACCCATGGCTTTATCAACGCTAGCGGAGAGTAGTAGACGCACTCGCACATACATACGTAGTATGAGTAAACCAAACTATGCATCAGATCATAGTAGAAATAGCAGAAATCAACTTTCCACAATGGGAGAGGACAGCGATGTTCCGGAAATGAAGCACCGGGAAATAACAATGGATCGATAGAGCAATACGCAAGCAACAAATATAAATCGAACGGAATTCACGATGAAAAGTAAAAAATGATAAAATGATAACATGAAATAATAAAATGATAAAATGATACAAATGATAAAAATGATAAAAAATGATAAAATGACAAACCTGCGAGATCGCTCATAGTAATAAGCGCGTGATAGACACAAAAAGTGAGTACACGAGCAGGAGTTACATGAGAGAGAATCGGCACCCTAACTTCGTTCCCAAGCCACAACAAGGTCGAAACTAGGGCTCAGTACCATAGCATAAATCACAATGGACAACACTTGAAAGAAGATGATAAGAGTTTTACTGTCATGGCATAATCACCTTCCTCACATCACCTTAACCCACACTGTCAAGGTTCTCAACCCTTATACTCTTACGCCACTCAAGTTGAGGTAAAGACTTCATCCCTACACTGTGTTTATATACTGCTTATCACAGTCTACTCTGCTTCACCAAAACCGCCCAGCACAGTCCCTTGGTCCTCGTAAGGTACGGTGGGACCAAATAAGAAAAACGAAATTAAAAAACCAAATATTAAAAACTAAGTTAAATTTAAAAAAAACACTTGCGTACGTCACTCGAGAAATGCGTCGCGCCGAATGCTGAGCTTCGGCGTGTCCAACAAACCACGATAGCGAATCCGTGGCTTTTTTCTCTGAGTTAGGCCAATGTATATGTTCAAACAGCTAGGTCTGATACCGACCTTCTTACCAGGTATCGACCGACTTTAGCGTACACCACGTGTTTCAAGAAGGACAAAACATAGTGGCAGGATATCAGATTCGTAGACCAGCAGTAACGCCAGAGCCTGGCCCACGTTTTCTGGTTCATGCCGAAGGAGAAGCAACAGGCTTGAGCCTGCTTGTCGCAAGAATGCGGCCGGATATCAGATCTGGAACGTTTGCACGTCAAAAAAAGAGGCCTCAGTCGAATCATTAGACTCGGAACCTCCGAGGGGTATCACCGAGTAGGTACGCGATGGCACCCGCCAACTTATCCTAAAATGGGGTTCTCATCCTTCTTGACATCCATCGGACCCCCGCAATGACGGTTCTACCGGGGTACCCGATCTTCCTTAACTCTTCGGCCAGATTCAGGACACTGCAGCAAATCAGGCTTTCAAAGTTAGAATTCTGTGCGATACGGAGTACCGTATTTGCAACTGTAGCAAATTTGGCATTTCGTGGACCAAACGAAACAAAATCTTTGTATGTCTGAAAACCGGCATCCCCTTCGCTCCAGATGAAGCCTGCATTCTTGAATTTGTGGCACATTAAGATGCCCGTCCTACAGATGAGAAAACGTGTTTCCAGGAAATCCAGCACCCCACAGTCCGAATTGGTGCGTTCGAGCACCAGCTCTGGAGGGTAGCACTTAGTCACTCCGTCAAGTTTTTCAATAGCAAGCCGTTCTCCCACTGGATCGTCACGATCAAACAGGGAGACAATCAGCAGATCGTCAATGTAACGCTTACCCATAACCAATTTGCAATCCGCACCCAGAGAATTAATAAATTGGAACTCGGCCATCATACACATGACACAAGCCAGTGGCGGGCTTGCTCGCCCACCGATTGGAAGTCAGTTAGGGATATCAGACTCTTCAGGCGAACAGATCTCCACCCAGCTTCTCCAAACAATTTCCCAAACCGGGCAGCTTTCTTCCTGGTAATGATTCTCAGCCATTTTACTGCTTTTGAGAAAAACAGTTCAACTCCCGCAAACTCCCTTGGTCCCACTAGTTGGGGCCGAGAATTGAGGGTCACTCCTCCAGTGGAGTGGAACATATATTTTGTTATGGTCCAGCTTCAACTCCTAAACGTACAGGATGTGTACTTTTTGGGACGGACACCGTGTGACAATCCTACTATTGTGGTGCTTGTTCGTAGTATCACTCAAACCACGTACATTCCGACAAGCGATGTTAATGCGGTTTGGCAAGACCATTAGGAGGTTTTCCTGCACCGCCTCATAGTTGGATCTGGCGAGACTGCTCTATAGGTAGTTTTCTTCTTTTGTCTTCCTCTTCTACTGGGGTGGGGAGCTCAGTGAGAGTCCATGGGTTCTTCAACTGAGCGTTGAACCCGCTCAGAGAGAGCAAAGTCCATCACAGCAGTTTGGCTGATCCAAGAAGAAGTGTAGACTTCTTCTGGGGTCTGTCCACGAACTGGACACCTGGGGACCAAACCAGGTACAACCTGGGGTGTCTGGATTCATTTTATGAAAAATAAATGAAAAGCCACGAGACGCTATGAATTCCACTAACGAGTTGGTGCCACGCCTGGACACCTGGGGACCAAACCAGGTATAGCCTGGGGTGTCTGGATTCATTTTCTGAAAAATAAATGAAAAGCCACGAGACGCTATAAATTTCACTAACAAGTTGGTGCCACGCCTGGTAGGTATGATTTCATGAGAGTCTTGTCCCGATAGAAGGATGATATTCTAGTCTGCTGCTATCAACAGATTCTTTGTGTCTGGTATATAACTTGGCAATTAAAAAAAAAAAAAAGTTTTTTCTTTATAAGTCACGTGTGCGTCTATGGACGTGATGGCCCAATCTTCTTGCCCCATAACAAATTAAACCCATACAAAACGGCCATGTGGATCTGCGAATTTGTCAATTATGTCAACTTGAAGGGAAAAAAATATCCCGCAACCTCCCTTGGTCCCACTAGCTGGGGCTGGGAACTGAGGGTCACTCCTCCAACGTAGTGGAACATAGATTTTGTTATGGTCCAACTTCAACTCCTGAATGCACAGGATGTGTACTTTTTGGGATCGGTACCGTGTGGCAATTCTGCTATTGTGGTGCTTGTTCGTTATCACCCAAGCCACATACATTCCAGAAAGCGATGTTAATACGGATTGGCAAAACCATTAGGAGATTTTCTTGCACCGCCTCGTAGCTGGATCTGGCAAAACTGCTCTATAGGTAGTTTTTCTTCTCTTGTTTTTCTCGTCTACTGGGGTGGGGAGCTCAGTGAGAGTCCAGCGGCTCTTCAGCTGAGCTTTGAACCCGCTCAGAGAGGACCAATTCTGTCATAGCAGTTTAGCTGATCGAGTCAGCAATCACCCAGCAGTGAGGTCTTCCATGAACTGAATCAATCTCAAGGTCTTACTGTTAAGATCGGTGAATTCCGGAATAGCTACCTTGTATGGATATTTTGTCTGGAAACTTTTTTTTAACTCATCTAGAATGTGGATGTGCAAAAAAAGTGGGTACATACTTATCTTTTTACTAAGGATTAAGTCCACTACATGTCTTCCAATCTTGGGCTCAGGGAAGATCCAAACTTGGCCAATTACGTTAATGATTTTTCTTGCACTGCCCAAAATGGAAAGTCCAATAGGTTGGTCCTCTATCTTCGTTATAGGTAAGCTTAGAGACCCTTAGGGTTGAGTGCAGGCGAACACCATTGGACCATTGTCGGAAGAAACACAGATGATGGGAACCAAAATCTCCTCCACCTTACCCTTATCCTTTCTCGTTAAACTTTTCATCAAACGGGCACTCGAGAGCGAGAGGATTTTTGAG